TCTGAGGTGCAGGCCAGCAGAATAGGCCTTTCTTTTTCTTCTATTGTTTTAAGATCCTCTATTTTAATAGCTACAGAGACATGACTAAACTATGAAGCATACTGTGAAACAGCTCCTTGAATGTTCTATCTCATTGAATCTGGCAAGAAAATGATCTGGACCTTTGGGTGAGGGTTTTTCTTTATGAAATTTCCAGATTTAACAAGGGCTCAGGATAGGTTTATATTTGTATGACAGTATTTCCCAGCACACAATTTAATATAATCACTTACATAAATGGTTTTCCAACACAATACTGGGGTATGCCTTTATACTTGCTCAACTTGATGGTAGTAAGAAAATTAATTTCTCCTGCTCTGTTAACAGGATTCAAGACTAATGAGTACCATGTTATTGATGTAGCCTTTATTGTCCCATTTTATTGATTCTCTATTTGATTATTCATGTAATATTAAACATGGTTCTTTGCATCAATAACCATTTGCTAAGTACCTCTTATTTCCCAGGCATTTTTATGGGATGCTTCAGGAAAATATCATGTCATGTATGATATTTTTCCTCAAGTCTTCTCATAGCCTGGAGTTGGGAGAAAGTTTGTGATCCATGCCAGCCAGTGTAGTGTACTAGTTAACAATACAATAAAGGTAAAGACAGGCTACTCAGACAATAAATTGGCCTGTGTTTCTCAAAAAGGAAATCTTTTCCAGGGCAATGACACTGTATTTTGAAACAGTCATCACATTTTTCCAAAAAAGGGAGACAGATGGAATGAGAATGAGATATGTCACCTATATTGAAAGGAACCTTGAATGGCATATAGCTGAACTTTGAATTTTATCCTGAATGCAATGAAAAAAGTCACTGGAAACTTTAAACAAAAGAGAGATGAGGTTTGCCTTTTAGGGAAATCTCTTTAAAGACCTTGGGAAGAGTAGATAAAAGAGAAACCAAGTGGTGGCAGGGAGCTTAGAAAGGAGAATTTTGGAATAATATAAGCTAGAAAGTTGTTGTTAAGGCACCTGGCTAGATGAAAACATGGAATATTGGCTAAAAGCTAGAACCCTGGTCAAAAGACTTGGGAACTCAAATGCATCTAATATCTTTTTTGACATTTAAATGTTCAAAATTTGTATTGAACAGTCTCATTCAGTTAAATGAAAATGAACCCAGTTGGGTTAATAGAGCTTAAAGGAGATTTGTAGTGTATGACAAGAACTCACAATTCAGGAACAGAACTCTCTTTGTGACCCCCTGGTCACTCTCCCCTTCATAGTTTGCTCTTCACATCTATTTCATTCTCTGTTCTCTTTCACTCCATCTCTCTTGATAACAATTTCTACCTCCTCATAATGTCTTCTTGTCCATAGCCATCATGGATTCTCAGGCTTTGTACTATGTAACAAATATTTTCTCCTACTGAGTAGGAAACTCTCTCAATGCCCCCTGGGCCATGTTGCCAAATGAGAAATATGGATGGCTCTACTCATCTCTGCTCCTCTGACCACAGCATATCTCCATAGCTTCCTCTGCAGCACTTTGGCTGGCTCCAGGTTTGGAGTGATAGCATAGAGGGAGACAATGGAGGATAAGAGATAAAGCAATTATCTTTAGAAGGGATATGGAAATGCCTAATGCTAGCTACAATGAGAGTGGGATTCAGCAGACAACTTCAAGTGAGAGTTAGGAATTCAAATAAGTTGAATGTAATAAATCATTAAATATGAAAAATAATGTGAGCCCCTGACTAACTAATAGGCCATCTACCCAAAGAAGGAAAAGAAGAAGAAAGATCTTGGGATGAATACAATTTTGGACTTATAAATAATTTTGCAGAAAATCCCAATAGGTAACTATATAAGCTGTTTGGCTTTCAAGAGATATTTGGATTAGAGAGCGCCATTTATTACCACTCTGTTTTTTGGCTTCTGAAATATTCTATTATTTTATTCTTTATCATTGCCTCTTCTTCTTTCTCTTCATTTGCATATTCTTCCTTTATGTGATCTTATTTGAAGGTCAAGGTTTCTAGAAGCCCAGTTCTGGCTTTTCTTTGTTTTCTCTATATACTCTCTCCTAGATAATCTCACTAAATTATAAATTATAAACACCATGTTTATGCTATAACTTAAAAATTTGTCTTCACACAGGCACATCCAGTTGATTACATGATTTATGTAGATATCATGCTGACATCTCAAACTCTTGATTTGAACCCACCTTTATTCGTTTTTGTCTTATTGAATAACACTCTGATTCTCTTGTCTACACAAGCCAGAACTTGAGGATCATCCTTGGTATTATCTTTGTTTACTCCCCTCTGCCAGTCCCTCAGAAATGCCTATAATTCCATCTCTAAAATATATCATGAATTCATTTTCTCTTCTACACCTAAATTTATGCAACTTTAGTTCAAACTACAATTGAAGAACATTCTAATGCAACTATTCAATGATTTTGTCTTTGTTTTAAAACAAAATTCAAACTCCTGTAAAGGTTATCTGATCTTTACCTCTATCCTTACTATACACTCCTATCATATTATGTTCTAGTCACATAACAAACTTCTTCTCATGACAGCATATGTTCTTGTTACTTTCTTCATCAAAAACAACCTTCACTGAGCTGGACCCTTTGAATGATACAAGTCCACAATTGAATAGGAGGATCATTCCTGTGTCCAATATAAAGTAGCCCCCATCCCGTCCATCTCACATTCATGTCCTTTTTCTGTTTTTAAACACTTATTCCTCTGGGGGTATCTTCATTTATTTGTTTGCTTATATAAGGCTGGTTTTCCCATACACATTCATTAGAATCTAAGCTTTAAGAGATAGAGATGCTGTTCTCCTTGTTCACTCTCGTACCTCTAGCATCTGCAGCAACACTTGGTATATGTATTATGGAGGTTGTTGAATGAGTGATTCAGTTACTTACTTCTTGCAAAAGAAACTTGACACGTCTTTTAATTTCTTCCTACAGTAATTCATTTTTCACAAAAGAATAAAGTCACCTTTTGAAAATATAAAACTGATTGTGTCCCTTTATAATTTAATCTCTGATGGTTTCCTAGTGCACTCAAATTAAAATCAGACCCATAGGTTGGTTATCAGTGCCATCCTCCTTGCTCATTACTGTCCACTAATCTTTCACTTCCTTGATAACTAATTCTCTTCTGCTTGGTCACTTTTCCTGACATTATTTGCATAAATACTTTTTTTCCTTAGATTTTTTTTTTTTTTGTACCAGGGATTAAACTCAGAGGCACTCAACTTCTGAGCCACATCTACCCTATTTTGTATTTTATTTAGAGACAGGTTCTCATTGAGTTGCTTAGTGCCTCGATTTGCTAAGGCTGGCTTTGAACTCACAATCCTCTTGTCTCAGCCTCCCAAGCCACTGGAATTACAGGTGTGTGCCACCACACCCGGCTGGTATGTTATTTTTTTAGAGAGATTTTTCCCTGACCTTAAATTAAGACCCTCTATTTTTTTTTCTTTTTCTCAGTTTAGATTATGTTTCTTCATAGCAACTATTAGTTTTTCTGTTGTTGCAATTATATGTATGTGCATTTGGTTTCAGTCTGCCTCTTCATGTAGGATGATCATGGTGGAGATTCAGTCTTTCTCTCTTTAGTATTCTTAGTATATAACATGATTCTTAGAATACCGAGACACTCAACATTTTACTGTAAATTATATCAAATGGTAATAGAACGTCTTAGAAAATAAATGAGATTTCCCATGGTTTCAAACTCAAGAGTCCTCATTAAATCCAGGCTGAAGATGTGGAGTTTGGTTTTGGTTTTGGTTTTGTGTTGTTTTGGGGCAGCATATTGTTTAAGAATTTTAAATGTCTTTAGGTGTGACTTGAATGCTCCAGTATACGTAGTCCTCATCCAAGAGTGGTACTTAAATATTTTAAAATAAAGCAAGGCCTTACATTAGTTAGTAAGGACATAGGAACTCCTATTTTGCCAAATATTAACCCAAGGAGAGGTTAGTAATTCAATAGGTTGCTGGATCTTTTAAAAAAACTAAGTGGTCAGAGAAGAGAGAGAGAAGCTTTTGGGGCAATGGATATTTACTGACTTTCATAGAAATGTCTCAAAATTAGTGAAGATATCCAATTCTGCCATCTCTAACTTAGCCCTTGTAGGCATCTAAGTTTGTGATTCCTTCTGTTATAGAGAAAGAAAAAATGAGAGCAAGGAACAGAGTCCCTGACAAAATGAGTTCAGAAAAGAGCACTGCAGAAGATAGAGAGGAACCAAAAGAAAATGGCTCTCTAGCTGAACTAGTTGAGCGTACTGAGAAGGATGTGGTGCTCAAGTGTGCTGGGACATGAGGCAGGAGGAGGCATGTCATCTGCAGAGAATTTCCAAGCAGCAATACAACTGACCGAAGTTGGCCTGCTCTTGAATGTTATCATGCGCTGGCAATTCTGCACAGATTAGGGTTTAAATTGTCCTCCCCTCAGTTACCACTCTTATAGAGAGGGATAGTTATAGCTGAAAGGGGGCAGAGTCAGAGGAGGATGGTTTATAAGACTAGAGTGTCTTGTAACTTTTTACATAATAAAAAGAAGAGGTCAGCCTAGAGGAAGTGCTTCAACAGAAAAGACATAATCATTAAAGCAATTTGAGGACATACAGAATGTACAAAACCCAGGGATGACTTAGCTTTGAAGAAAAATAGGGGATCTAATTCCCAGGGGCAGAATCCTGGATTTGTGACTCAGAATTATGTCTTTAGTACTAGTTGTAAATTTATTTTATTTTTTAAATGAATGCAATTTTGGATATATTACTGTGTAATTATTCATTATATCTGTTTTTGAAAATAACATTGGTGTTTCAAAAATAGCATCAATATTGTAGACATGACTGCTACTAACATATTTCAAAGATTCCATGCAAAATAATTTAAATGCATTGTGCTAATAGAGATATTCTAATCTGACATTCAATTAATGCGTTCTGCATTTGCACTTATTTCGTACAGGTAACAAATATTGGGTATTCAAGGACACAACTCTTCAACCTGGTTACCCTCATGACTTGATTACTCTCGGAAGTGGAATTCCCCCCCATGGTATTGACTCAGCCATTTGGTGGGAGGACGTTGGGAAAACCTATTTCTTCAAAGGGGACAGGTCAGTACACACATAACATAGGAAAGAGTTAATGAATGTTTCCAGAAGTCAATGTTTCTGGTCTATCATAGGCAAGCACTGTTGATAACAAATCTGTGTGGCTATAAACACAAGTTAATGCAGTAGAAATATTTAAAAATACATTTTAAATAATATAATATTTAAGATAAATCACCATATAATGAACTAATGTGACTTTCTTGTGATGATTTTTTTTTAGATTTTTCTTTCTAATACATTTTTTAAATTTATTTTTTATTAGTTCTAATCAGTTATACGTGACAGCAGAAAGCTTTTTAATTCACTGTACACAAATGGAGCACAACTTTTCATTTCTCTGGTTGTACACGATGTAGTATCTATTGTATCACATGTGTTGTCATATATATACCTAGAGTAATGATGTTCATCTCATTCTACTGTCTTTCCTACTCCTGTGCCCCCTCCCTTTGGCCCACTCAAAATTCTTCCATTCCCCCCACACCCTCTCATTATGGATCAGCCTACTTATTATGGTCTATATTTCTACAATATATATTCTTTCTTTTCTCCATGTTCTTTACATGCCTATAAAGCTACATAGACAGTGAATATATGTGTCCTTATAGTACATTTTCTTATTATTTTACTTTAATTTTCATGAAAATTAAAATACTTCTTGGTACAAGAAAAAAATACTTCTCAGTACAAGCTTTGTGTGTCCTTACACTCAATGTTAAATGATTACCCTTCACACACAGTTAATTGTGACCATTTTCAAATAATTTCAGTTTACTCGCAAGTCCTATTCCCTCAGAAGCCATTTATTAAGTTACCAACAAGCAGATGCTGTGAACTATTAACAAGCTATCACTGTAGTAGATACTCTTAGTGTGAAGTATAACATCCCTTCCCAGCAACTTCTTCTCCTTTTTCCTGTGACATCACTAACAGGATTCATAAATTATAACTAAATTGTTAGCCTTATAACTCACAGTAGCTACCAGGTATACATAGCTCCACCCCTGTCCATTCTTTGACAGATATTACATATAAAATATATGAAGACTGTTTTTATTAATTTAAATAAATACTAAGTAGAAAAAGTAATAAAGATGAAAACTCAAATTTCAACTAAATTGTTATTAGCTGGGTAACAATATTAAAGCAGTAATTAGCCCTCACTGGTTTGTGGGACTTACGTATGCCATTGGGCTGCCTTTTCTAAGCACATTATAAAGAATACATAGGCTTTAATGTCCTTCGTGCTCCTAAAGAGTTTGCCTGATTACCCTGGCATAAAATATCCCTGTTTGTTATCTCCAGCTTTAAGAGAAAAATAACTAAGGATATAAATATGTTTATTTAAATTTTATGATTTTTAATTGTAAATGATTTCAGACATTGAGTTTTATCTGTGATTAAATTCTATAATTGGCCTCCATGTGTAAGAATGTTCACTTTTGACTTCATTTCATTATCAACTTTTATATATATTATATTTCTATAACAGAATATCCATAGATTTTAATTCATGAAAATATAGTCAAGGCTTTTCTAAAACATGTTTTAGTAAATCACAAACAAAAGTATTCAGCATAGAGATGTTTCCTAGAGCCACAAAAAGCATAATGACTCTCAACAGTATATAATAGAAGAGAAAAAATGAAGAACTTATTGTCACAGAATAATGACCACTAAATAAAATAAATGTGCAGACTTATATTCTTTAAAACGTTATAACCCTTGAGGTTCTTTAATTCTTTAGTTTTGATTATTTATATATACTCTTTCAGGACTAGGCATAGGACAGAAGGCTGAGAAGATATGTTGGAGAGATTGGTTTTTAGACACAGAACAAGAGTTTAGCTTTTGGGCTCCGGATGTAGCACAGTGGTAAAGCTTGCCTAGCATGCACAAGGCACTGGGTTCAATCCTCAATATGGGTTGGGGAGTAGTTTGGCTTTCATATAACAGTTTAAACAAGAGTTTCATATATAATATTAAAAGTTATCATTTAATTATCAGATAGTTCTTTTCCTATATATGCCAGAAATATTTTTTTAATCTTCTTCCCCTTCTAAAAATTTAGTTCTTATTAGAAAAATTTTACTTTACAGATAAATATTAGTTATTAGTATTAATATTAAATTAATTTGAGATACCTCAAATTCATGAAATCAGTTTAGATTTGATACCAAATTTATAATAAAGATTGTTAATAAATAAGAAAACAGTTTCAGTTCATTTCCTTCCTACTTCAAACACTTTTTGTAAGATAGAACAAAGTGTATAAATATACTCTTATTACTTGTGTTTTATTTAAATTACTGTGATTTTATAGGCTTTAAAATATTGAAAGTAGAGTTCCATATAATTTCCAGGTGTATTATCTGATGTATCATGAATTATAGGTGTTGTTAAATAAATTACTGCATATTTATATAATTATATAATTCCAGAGTCATAACATTTATCAATACATTCATTCTAGATTTATGACCCTACCTAATTGTACCTAGCTGCCTGCAGTGACAATATGACTATAAGGCAGTCAATTCCATTTTCAATAACTTTAATGTCTGCTTCCTTCAGGTGTCTGTACCAGTCCTGGCTTAGCCCTCATTAATTCATTTAAAATTTATTTTTTAAGATATACTATATCACATGTGCTAGACAATAAAGATAGATAATATGAAAAACTACAAGGCTTCCCATGGCTCTTACATTCTGTTGGAGTGAAAATAAAATAATGACCTTAATGATTTTTACATTGAAAAATGTTACAAAGAAGTATGGCAAGGTTTTTAGGGATAGAGATTCATTGGAGATAAGGAATAATTAGGAAATAGTGGAAGTTGGAGAGGAACTCACTTGTGAATGGCACACTTGAGGGGAACCTGAAGAGGGATAGGCTTTAGCTATATGAAACTATTCAGACCAATGTGTCGTAGACAGATGAAATAGTTGTGCAAAGGACATGAAAAATAGGACATTCAAAAACAGAAGAAAGCATTGTGGTTAGAACATAGCCATTAAGTGGTCAGAAGAGGTCAACCAGGTCAGTAGAGATCCAATGGCACAGCGTCCTGGAGGTCATCAGGAAGACTTTGTACTGAGTAAAATGGAAAGGCAGTATAGATTTTCAGGAGCACAATGACTTGATTTTATGTGTGTCCCTAAAGATCATTCTGGCTGCTGTGAAGAATGGGCTTCCAGAGTGGAAGTAAGAAGGGTACTTGGGAGACCATTGGACAGGCAGAGAGGACAGGTAGTAGTGGAAGTGAAGCAAAAGAGATAGATGAAGGGTTCCTTTTGAATGTAATCATAATAAACTGTTCTTATGACTTGGATCTCAGGGGACATGAAACAATATCTAGGATCTTCACCCAAAAATTGAGTAGTGCAATTTCTGGAGATAAAGGAGACAAGGAAAAGAATATTGGGGGGAAGAGATGAAGAGATTGAAATGTCCATGTTGGATCTGAAGCATCTATTTAAAAACCAAATGAGAGGAATCAAGTAGGCAGTTGGATAATTGAGTTTGCCTCTGAATGGAAAGGTCAGTGGGAGGCACAGATTTGGGAGTAATTGACATATAAAAGGTATTGAAAGCAGAGGTCCCCATGAAATCTTTTAAGAATGGAAATAATCAAGAGTAGAGGAAATGGTGGTTCTTTAAATAGATCTGTAAATGCAGATTAAAATATCTACTCTTTCACTACTTCACATACAGCATGGAACTCGGTCCCTCAGATTCCTGCTTGCCCTTTTCATAATAGACTATAATTTGGTACTTGGATGCATTTTGGTCTTCATAGCATTTAGCTCTAAAATGCTATGTTTCTAAATCACTTCTTAGCATCTTCTCACAAATAAATTCCAAGATTCTAGTGCGATACAGCATTCGAAGTTCAACTATTGAGAACTGTAAAATCATATTTTTAAAAAGACAAAATTCTGGCCCACCTTGAAATTTTTTAAATTACCACTAATAGTCAAATAGAAAAATACTTCCAGCTTAAATTGTGTTTATAAATTAATTACTTTATGTATATTTAAATCATTCAACAACATAGTAAAAAATGATATTTTCTGTTTTGTCGCATTTTACGTGTGTTTCTGAAGAGTATGATTATTTGGGTATGAAAAAAGAAGCATTCTATTATTTTGTGGTCATAAATCTTGAATCTGGGCAAAGAATTGCAACCATGTTGGATTTATTTTTTTTTATTTTTTTATTCTAATTTGTTGTATATGACAGCAGAATGCATTACAATTCATGTTACATATATAAAGCACAATTTTTCATATCTCTGGTTGTATGCAAAGTATATTCACACCATTCATGTCTTCTCATACATGTTTAGGGTAATGATGTCCATGAGATGGACACTATGTTGGATTTAAAAAAAAAAATCTGTCATGTGAAATGACCCTTGAGTCCACTTGAATTTAGTTTGCAATTCAGTATCCAGCACTATCTAATTAAATTGTTTCACTACAGAAACTTCTGTATTGTTTTATTTCTTAGCATAGAAAGCATTTTAAAAATTTACGTCACATGAATAACTCTTTTCTCCTATGCATGTGATTCATGATCAAGTCTAAAATCTGATTAATGAATCTTATTTCTTATCATAATTGTTTTAAAACATTAAGAATGCTTCTCTCAAAGAAACATCTAATTAAAATCAAAATTCTACAGTAGATTCCAGTGGCTCAGGAGGCTGAGGCAGGAGGATCACAAGTTCAAAGCCAACCTTAGCAACTTAGTAAGGCCCTAAGCAACTTATCAAGACTCTCTCTCAAAAAAAAAAAGACTTAAATGCTTGGGATATGGCTGAGTTGTTAAGTGCCCCTGGGTTCAGTTCCCGGTTTAAAATTTTAAAAAATCTACAATACACATGACTGATGATCAGAATGAAAAGGTATATAATGTTCATTTATAAACCCTTTCTCATTTATTGACCCTTCCTCACAATATTCCAAATTTTCTCCACTATAACATCTAAATTTTAAAGTCCTCAAGTAGTTTATTTAAAGAGTTCTAGCCTGAATATGCTATTTTGTTTTTAACCAATCCATAAACTTATTTTTCTGGGAGGAAAATATCAGCAGGTTGAGCTTTTTTGTTAATGTTGGAAAATGTTCAAATATGTGAAAATTAAAACCCAAACCTTTATTTAACAAGCCCCAGTACCTTTAGCAAGACAACCCTGAAAATAGTTAAGCATTTCTAATCACATTCCAGTCTACTGGATATTCACAAAGCTGACACACAGCAGGCAACCTGAGGGTTCAAGCCTACACTGAGATTCTCAGATTGCAAAGTGATCCCCTATTCTAATTTTACATTATCTGCTGGGAGAGAGAAAATTCATTTATTTTGTAAATTTATACCAGAATTATGTGGCTATAAAAGAATCTAATAAAACTCACATTCCATGGATATTTTCTTGAAACGTACATTCTATGAATCTTATGTGTCTGGCATACAATGGGGAGGCTCAAAAGGTTCTTTCCTGGCACGTGTGAGGCATTGGTTTCAATCCTCAGCATCACATAAAAATAAATAAATAGATAGATAGATAAAAGTATTGTGTCCATCTTCAACTTAAAAAAAAGTATCAATGGGTGAGAGTTATCTATGAGAGAATAGAAAAAGGAAGGAAGGAAAATTATACATAACAACTATACCTCAACAATAAGAGTGAAAAGTAAATATATTATCAGGATGCTATATGCCATGAGAGTTACTAGCAGCAACAAGGTTGAAAACATACTGAACTATGAACCAAAGAGGGCTCATTTGAATTTCAGCTCTTCCATAACACAGCAGAGCAAAGGTAAATAAGTCACTTATCTTCAAATAAAATGATGCCCAGTGCTGTGACACTGATTGAGCAACAATATACACTATAGTTATAGTTAGGACATTTTTTATAGAGAACATTATAGTATAAAGATTGTTGAGGGAGTTAAGGGAAATCAAATAATAGAATGTATTCTATAAATTTGCTTTATGGGCACAAAACACAACATAAAATATAGATATTATTACATAGAGAATAATATGATTACTTCTCAGAGAGTGGTTTCTAAGTATGTAGTAATGTTACTAAATGACTGCATCATACCCAGGATTTTAAATTATTCCAAAATTCAACCATTTCAAACTGACTTTAACTTATATTTTATGTCATTTAATTATGCCATTTATTGTAAGGTATATCATTATTTAATCTATCATTGAAGGGAAACCCTTCCAAGTACATTTTTTTTCCTTTTTTTCTAGGGGTAGGGGGTTAACAGTGATTGAACTCTGGGGCACTTGAACATTGAGCCAAATCTCCAGCCCTATTTTGTATTTTATTTAGAGACAGGGTCTCACTGAGTTGTGTAATGCCTCACTTTTGCTGAGGCTGGCTTTGAACTCGTGATCCTCCTGAGCCATTGGAATTTCATGTGTGCACCCACATGTCCTTCTTGCCAAGTACATTTTAATTCTGTAACAACATGCATTCTGATCCCTAGAGATGTAAAATGGGGGGGGGGCTATTATCTAAGAAATAAAGTATTTCTATATTTCCTTGTGAGAAGCTTTCTTTGGTTAAGTGTGTTGTAAATTCCATTGAAGTATTAACTAAAGAGGAGATAACTTTATATTATACCCATAGTCTCAAACACAGTGACCATTCTGTAGTCATCCCAGAATGTTCTACAGAAATGGAATATTCACAAATAATTCAAAAGAAGATGTTTTTAAGAACAAAGTGTGAAAGAAACTGTATTTCAGGATTGGTAGCATGACATTTGAATAATTTCATTTCATTATCCAAGAAAGATAGGCACCTATCACAATTATTTCACCTCATTGCTTCTTCATGAAGCTTTTTCTGATTTGCTCATCAGATCTGCTCTAATTTGCCTGTGATGAGTATCTATGGCAAACAAGTGTGAGAGATTGTTTCCCTTTCTGGGTAAACACAGCTTTGTAGGTTACAAATGGGAACACTTTTTGAAGCAATGTTTTCCTCATTTCCATTGAAGATGAAGGAAGTACTAATATTGCAAATATTATCTGAGTGAGTTTCTAGGTATTTATAACAAAACTTACTGCACAAAATCTGTAGATAAAGGATACTCCATAAGAACTAGCACAGAAAAACATTCAGAGTAGATTTTTTTTCTAATTTTAGGCAAAATAACTAATCCCAAGAAGAATTAAATCATTTATCAAACCTGGGTGGATAAAACCTAGATTTCAGGACTGGGGATATGGCTCAAGTAGTAGTGTGCTCGCCTAGCATGCGTGAGGCACTGGGTTCGATTCTCAGCACCACATAAAAATAAAATGGGGATATTGTGTCCACCTAAAACTAAAAAATAAATATTTTTTAAAACCCATTAGATTTCATAGGTAATCATGTATGTTTAGTTGGGAGAAGGAGACATATCAAATAAATTGGGAAAATATATTTGGTGATATCAAGTAAATATGGAAATTATATTCATTGTGAAAAGAGTAAAGACTTTTGAAATCAGACAAACATGTTTATACATCTATCTGTCAAGAATTCTCATTCATATAGGGACAGCAATTACTTTATCGTGGATTTTTTGTGAATAAAGAAGATAATCCACAGAATTTTGTGATTTTTGGATTTGGCATTATGCCTAAAAAAGGCAATATTACTCTGGATTCCAGTAGTTTTGCCCCATTATGACAATATTTTTAATATAAAAATATAAACTTGTTTTATTCTTAGAACATATAGACAATAATGAGTGATCAAAAGTAGGGATATTCATTTTCTTTCATAGAAGTCTGGGGGTTCTGGAAAAATGGCTTGAGGGCACCCTGTGAAACAACAGGAGCCAGATGGTTCTGACTCTAGCTGAGCTTTGCTTTACAATTTTACTACCTTAACTCCATTCAAGATCTGTCCTAAAGTCTACGCTCATATACACAATTTTCTCATCTATAATTCCACTTTGATGTCTGAATTCAACACCCTAACTCTCAGGATTCAGACTGCCATCACATATTTTTCCTTGCTTTCTTAAGGCAACAGTAATCTTCCAGATTATCAGGCCCAGAGATCTAAGGTCACGTTCAATTTCCTTCTTTCTCACATTTCAAATCCAATTCATCACTAAGTCCTTTGGTCTCTTTCTTTAAAATATATTCCCAATCTGTTAAATTATCATCAGGTCTATAACTGACTCCTCATTTCAAGGCTTATTGCAATGACTTCTTAACTAGTATCTCTGCTTCTGCTTTATCTCTTTCAACTCCTTTTGCATGAAGCAATCAGCATATTCTTTTCAAGATGATCTTAAGGCATCTCTACTCAAAGTATATATTTTCATATCCCTTAGAGGAAAACCGAAGGTTTTATGTGGTGTAAAGACCTATCTCACCTTAGATTCTGGTTCCTGCTCAGACTTTGTGTCTAATCACCCTCCCTTCCTGGTAGGTGCTCAAGTACTCCATGCCTGTACTTTCCACAGGAACTTCACCTCCTCTGCTTGCAGTGTTCTCCAAATACTAAATGTGTTGTTCCTCACTTTTATCTGCTCAAATGTTAGCTTATCAAAGAGGTCTTCTCTTTCTACTAGTTTAAAAATGTCTCCTACATATTCCTAGATAACTCTATCTGCCTTGTTTTTTTTTTTTTTTTTCTTCATAGCTCTTACTATCTTCAATCATTGCATGCCTTTTTTGATAATTGGTTTATTGTCTTTATACTCACATATCCTAAAATCTAAGATCAAGGAGACCTGGGGCACATCTGTTTTGTTCAAGGTTCTATTTCTTAAAAAAATTAAGATTCAGTATGTGCGCACACTTGTGAGTGCATACACACACATGGGTTTGTGATACCCTTATGAATTGCAAATATACTTAGGTAGAATAATATAGTTAGCATTTTTATGAATTTTAGCAGACTGAATAAATGCTAATTTTAACATATACAGGATATGCATAGTAATATATACATTTTAACATATGCAGGATATGTATAATAATAAACACATTTTTAACATATGCAGGAAAGGAAATAGAATAAATACCTTATGCCCCCTGTCTCTTCAGATGTTCCATAAATCACTTACAGGTATATAGGCAATAGTGTCAAACATACAGCAATAATTTAATGAATGATAACTGTAACTATTTGGGGTTTTTTGTATGTGTATATATATATATTTTTTTCCTTTGTGTGTGTTGTTATGTTGTCCTTTTTAGGTATTGGAGATATAGTGAAGAAATGAAAACCATGGACCCTGGCTATCCCAAGCCAATCACAGTCTGGAAAGGGATCCCTGAATCTCCTCAGGGAGCCTTTGTGCACAAAGAAAATGGTATGCAAGATGTGCATTACACATTTCTTAAGTTTCCTAACTATTGTAGTAACACACTGTTCTTTTTCATTATGTTAAATCACTGGGAGATGCCATACTTCAGCTATGTAATATTTATATAAACTTTCATCTTAGATTAATATTTAGTACTGTGCTGTACTTTTTAATCTCAACTTACTTAATTTTGTGAAGAATCATTAGAAAGATATACAGTTAATATTTTAACATGGGACAGTATAGATACCTTTGAATTAAACTCACCTATATGTCTATTAACATCTCTATAAAGATAATAATAACAATATATGTGGGATAGGAACTGGCCTTGAGAGGAAGATATTAGTATAGACCAAAGAACAAAGCACCTAATAATAATGCAAGTTGAATATTATATTTATTTGCTGCTTGCTTAGAGTGTTAGCAAACAAGCAAGATCCTCATTCAGTACAGTCAGACTAGAGAGATTGTAAAATGACTTCATACAAAAGCAAAAGGTAAGCCATGTACATGACATTTGATAACCAGAAAATCCAAGACAATGGGACGCTGAAACATTGCCTTTACTTCACTCTTCCACCATTATAGAAATCCATTGTTGTAGGAATCCTCTCCCAATGGTCAATTTTTTTAAAAGTCCACAGGCTCAAAATTAAGCTGTAAATATTTATGCCTTTTACATTGAAGTGAAATATGCCTACCTATTGATACTAATTCTGCCATCTTGGCCAATGAAATATGAGTATCTGATGCCATTGAATGTCTTCTCTGTTATCAGGATTGCTACATAAATTCATTATATCGAATTTAATTGTCCTACATAAGTACCTCTTTACCAACACTAAACTCGTTCAAATAACTTATCCCTGATTGTAAAATTTGTAAGATATGTACTTAAGTCTTGAAACTAAGGACATTTTAGCCCCAATAAATATGATTTAATGCACTGTCTCCAAAGAGGAAACATTAACGTGTTTTTTAAATTGTTTTGCTAAAGTAACTGGCCATCTGTTATATCTGGTTAAATTTTTCATTTGGTCATACTATACAAACCCAGGTTTCCTGAGATTGTCACTTCCTAAGCCATCCTCCTTCCGGTTTTCCCTGTAACCATCTTAACAATTTTTCTTTCTTCTTTTTTCCTCTTTACTTTTAGTTCCCTAAAAGTAAAGAGGAAATAGCAATAGTCCAAATTAGATTTGACTCTTTCAGAATACGGTGGAATGATTTCTTAATATAGATTACCTCACAGTGTTTTTCACACAGCAGCATTGGTTTTTAACTGTAATAAAACCATAGTAAAGAATCAACCCCTCCTTCAAATTATTCCTACATTTGTTGTCAAGTCACACTTTTCAAATATTCTATTTTTTCTCTTTGGAATTCACTTTTGAAAGAAACGCAAAATTCCAATTTTAATTATCATATTTTGTTTTACCATTTGCAGCCCGGGTTTGGCCTATTAACATAGTTTTGTCCCCTGGTTCCGTCAGTTTGGTGTATTTATTCTTCCCCTCAACACTCACTCTCTGTTAAAATACCACAAATTTGATTTAAACAAACATTTCCACAGGAGTCAGTTTATTCACAAATATTTATCAAACACTTAACTGCCTACCAATAAACATGTAAAAGCCCAAAATAGGACATAGAGGCACTGCCATTGGAGAACATCCATTCACCACTACAACTGCAATGAACTGTCATTACATTTTTAGGATGAAGCAATAGAAAACTAACTAGTGAGATCTGGCCAAACATAAAAGAAAAAAAGCATCATCAAAGTATATATTGCAACCTTGCTGATTTCTTTCTCAAAATTTTAATTCTTATCATATGCAGGAGCATGACATCAGAGCTGTTTTTAAAACAGAAAAATATATAATTAACTAAACATTTCCTCAACTAATTGACATTTCAGAAGTGAAAAAAGTAAACCTAAATTATTGAGCGAGATAGATTTTACAGAATAAAGGTTTAGCATATTTCTATTACCAATATTTCAGTCTGCTTCTTTTCAACCACTTATATTATTTAACAAACTCCTACAGACTAGATTCCTTATTTCTAACAATTGCTTTCAGTAACTACAAATTCTGTTCCTATATATGTAGTGTCTTACTATAAAATTTAGCTTTTAGAACTGATAAATATGAAATGCCCAGTAGCTTAGATAGTAATTAGCTTTGGCTAAAAATTGAAGATGAGGACACTTCCAGCTGTTAGTTTCCAGTTTATAAATATAAGAAGTACGTTCATCTATTTTGAAGGTCTGTTTAATTCTAAATCAGTGCCATTGTTCAACTGTGATCATCTAATGTGCTGTTATTTGGCAGGCCTTCAACATTTCTTCATCCAAGCTTGTTGAGTAATTACACTGGATTTCATTAGTGCGATCAAATACCAGCTCCCTACAGAAAAATTTGAATCTACATACACCTGTTTTCACTTGGCAAATTGCTCTGATTGCAGAACTGTCCTTCGAAACTAAAAGCCACAGCAGATTTTCATGGCTTTGAACAGAAAGACTTCCAAAAGGAAGTTGACCTGAAGTGATAGTCTATCCTTTCTGGAATTTTTTTGTGCAACGTTGGAGTTCTTTATTTCAGGGGTGACATCTATTACAACCTTTGATATTAAACCAACAACATCATTCATTGAGTGTTTAGACTTTATACTTATAAAAAAATATTTAAATCCTGCTTTCACCACAATACATATGTGTGTATGTGTATATACATATATGTGTATGTGAATATCATATATGTATATATTTTTTAAAATCTACAACCCTCAATATCTTTTTCTGAAAAAAATGAGTAGTAACTTCTACTTGACCAAGCAGTTGTGAGGCTTAAAAGAGACGGCATATACTAAGTTTTTACACTTACATTTCCCATGATTACAACATCAAATATTTCATTTTTTTCTTAGTTTTACTGCAAAAACAAGAATTAAGTCCAAGTAGGACAGCCAAATAAACTTGACATGAAGGAGCTATAGACAGAAGAACAGAGTAGATATCTGCCTTAAAAAAATTAACAGCAAAGCATGGAGAATAATCCTAAATGCATACGTATAATTTATTTGTCAGGAGCTCACAAAGTGAGCAACCAGAATGTTTTAGAACATGAATCATATATATTGCTGAGTTCTTTGAGCCTTCCACATACCACCTCCTCCCCCAGGAATTGTAAGTTGCTTAGAAGTATCAAAGTTATAAATGTAGATTTGTTTATTCCTAAAAGGATTAATAAGGGCTTTTAACCACTCTATAAAATATAATTAGTTGACACAAATTTAACATAACTAAGTACATAAGTTAAACAACAGGGAAAAAAGAAGAGGAAAAACAGATGTGGCCTAGAGCCAGAAATGAGGTTAGCACACAAAATACTATGAATATCTATTTATTTGTTAATATTTCTAGCAGACAAAAGAAAACACCTCCAGTTTTATGATTTATAATGATTTCTTGTTCAAATGACAAAAGAAAACCTATTTTTTGGAGGAGCACAATGATGCCTGATACTAAGACAATAAGAAATTTCCCTGGAGGTGTGGAGAGGTGAGAAGCTGCTTTATAAAATGTATTGAACCGTGTCTTCTGTGGCAGCCTGAGGGTAAAACAGTGTTTCCATTTATAGGGCTGTTTCAGTGTCTTTCAGTATAGGTTGATGTCATCACACTAATGTGTGATTCTGTGCCAGCACACCATAAGCCAGCAAAAGGATAAAGATTTCTAGTGCAGAGGTGTAGATGTGACTTCCAGCTCATCATCCTCTAGCATCCTCTGTAGATCACCTCTCTCTGCTGAGCTTTCCATGGGTATTAGAAGGCACAGTTCCTGCAGCACAGCAGTTGAACTGAGGATAGGTTTTCTTCCTACGAAAATGGAAGGGTCTTAAAATACACCTTTTACAAATTAGCTTATGTCATTAGCATTCCTATACTTACAGACTTTCACCAATAAGTGGTATCTGTGTGTATGTGTGTTTTCCCCCGCAGGCTTTACATATTTCTACAAAGGAAAGGAGTATTGGAAATTCAACAACCAGATACTCAAAGTAGAACCTGGATATCCGAGATCCATCCTCAAGGATTTTATGGGCTGTGATGGACCAACAGACAGAGATAAAGAAGGACACAGCCCGCCAGATGATGTAGACATTGTCATCAAACTGGACAACACAGCCAGCACTGTGAAAGCCATAGCTATTGTCATTCCCTGCATCTTGGCCTTATGCCTCCTTGTATTGGTTTACACTGTGTTCCAGTTCAAGAGGAAAGGAACACCCCGCCACATACTGTACTGTAAACGCTCTATGCAAGAGTGGGTGTGATGTAGGGTTTTTTTTCCCTTTCTTTCTTTTTCCAGGAGTTTGTGGTAACTTGAGATTCAAGACAAGAGCTGTTATGCTGTTTCCTAGCTAGGAGCAGGCTTGTGGCAGCCTGATTTGGGGCTGACCTTCCAAACCCAGAGGGTTGCTGGTCCTGCACATGAGTGGAAATACACTCATGGGAAAGCTTCCATGATGCACAGTATCTGCCGTTCTTCAGTCCTTTGTCTTTCTTTGTCATTCAGTTATAGGCCTTTCCTCTGCACGCTCAATGCCCAGTCAAATTTCAGGATTAACTAAAGAAGAGGAAAAAAAAAAAAAGAAGAAAAGATTCTTCTTAAAGGTTTTAAATATTATTTTCCTTCTGAAGTCTGAGCCCATTTTGGGGAGAGAGAGAGAGAGAAAAAAAAAAAGCAAAAGAGAAAATCCACAATTTTTGCTTTAAAACAAAGGAAAAAAAAAAGTTTAAACATAAAGTCCACAATTGAACTTTCAGGAAAGTGTGAAGACCCAAAACAGCTTTGTCTCCAAAGAAGATAGCTCTGTGACTGCTATGGATAATCTCCTGCGCATCATTTTGTCAGGTGGGAGATCTGGATACACAGGCAGGACTTTAGACTGTCGGGACAGCCATTTTCCAACAAACAAGGGGCCAAAATATCTGCAATATAGTAACAGCCTTAATAATACATCCATTTTTCGTTTTATACAGCTGTTCTCAGCTATGTCCTCAATGTTTCATCACACATTTCTATTCATACCTATATTCAAAACAGGACCTTTGAATTGTTTTGAAGTGTTTCTAAACCCTCTCTTACCACCTGACCCCTCTATCATTGTGATAATATCCCCAGGTTGTATTTAGGCCAATGCCCCAGGCCTTCCATGGGTCTGTCAGGAATATTCGTTACAAAGCAGAGCAAGAAGCAGTATGTTTCTGAAGTAGATTAAAGTGACAGTTATTTTGCAAGGATTTGTAATTCTAGTAATATATTGGTGTAACCCTTTGAGAACTATCAGACCAGCTTTCAGAGTCTTAGGATTGTCAGTGTTGCTATGCGGTAAATTGTAGAACTGGCCAATGTTAAAAACAGTGATAGGTTCAAGAAGTTCCTGTTTTTAAAACATATCCCATAACCCCCTTGTAATTCTAAAACGATTTACAGTACTACATGAATACACTTATAACAAACAGCAATGATATTACCTGCCCAAAATTTTCTGGCAAATAAAAAAGATATTTTGTTAACAGTATCTCCTAAGAGTGAAATTTTATTTGAACAACTGTTTATAGCAACCTAATTCTTTTTTTTTCCCCTTAGACATATTGAATTCTTGTTTTAAAATCCATTGCATGAGAATTCAATTTGCCTTGGTATACGCAGTTAGCATTGCCTTTTTAAAAATGAATTAAAATGATGACTCTGAGGTTGCATGAATATCCTCCATTGCATTACCTACTGCATGTCAACCATAGTTCTCAAAGGGTTAGTATGGCTTCTGGCATTTTGCCATCCATTTGATCACTGACAGAGCCAAGAGACCACCAAAGCATTTCATTGTTGAGTGTAATTTGTCCTAAGAGCAGTATTGTCATTTTCATGTGACCTGCAGAGCAGGTTTGTATCAATATTTTTTTCCTAGAGAAAAGTCAGCAACTGACAGACCTCTTTATTGATTTTTAGGAGCTGCTTCTTGCAGTGAAAGGCTTTACAGCCACTGGGCTGTGAACTTATTAGAGATGGTCAGGAGGAATGCACCCCATGAGTCAGACATTGGCTTTGTGTGAAAGCCAGCTTTTGAGGGGATTAGCTTTTGAAACAATGAACAGCTTGCCTTGAACTTGATTATTGATCTGTTGACTGTCATTAACAACAACTTAAACATTGTCTTCTGTGAAAATTTTCCTTGAAGAGTCCTGTTCTATGTCTTTGCCCTTTGACCTTTAACTTGCAAACTGGCACAAACTGAAGGGAATATGGTGTTGCTTCTCCATGGGATTGTTAATTGTTCTCTAAAACCTCTTCAACATGAGCTGTTTCCTTAGAGTGCAGAGAGAAAGAGTGTTGATGGTGGGTCTGCAGATGGACACTTTGTCTTTACATGCACACTCTAAAAATGCCCTATAGGTAGAAGTGGTTTTTAATTTCCTTTTCATATGATTTGAAGCCTAATTTCATCATTTTAGTATGAATTACAAAAAATATAGGAAAAAAAATAACCTCAAATACTTGAATGGCCAGTGTGGCTTTTATATAAAGCAGGAATTTTATACTAGTGAAAATTTCTTACTCATTTGCTAACAATACACATTTCCAGATGATTTTTAATGAGTGTAGGTATACATTCTTATTTGGAAATGGATAGTTTGGCTGCCTTGAATTTATATTTATACTCAACATAGCATGAAAATTAGAATGCCTTTTGGTTAAACTACGTGTTTATGATTTGGTTGGGGAAAATATTTTCTAATCATGGGTGGCATGCTGAAAAGCCTTGCAGATTGATATTTCTCATAATCTGAAAATATATACTGTAAGGCTAAGAGAAAAAGAACAGTTAGAAAAGAGGAATGGCTTTATAGCAAAACATTATGCAATTCAGACTATATTTTGACAAGATATCAAAGATGATGGATTTGAGGTCCCAGAAAGCAAGGAAAGAGGACCAGAATCAGCCCTATAGCTTTACTTCAGTGCTTCCATTCTAGATGATGCTGATATTATAAAAAGAGTTAATCACTGCTAAGCATGGAGGACTTTATACATAAGCTTGTTTGTACAGTGTTTGCTTGTGGGAGGGTTTAATTCTTTCAGGACCTTAATGTCAAGAGAAAAAAAAAATGACTGGAAACTATATTTTGTGAAAGATAGAAATGAGGAACTTTGTCATTTTGGGACACGTGCAAATCATTCAGGAACTCCATCAACCTGCATTGAAAAAAAATGTTTTTTTCTCTAAAATGAGAAAGAAACAAAATAAGCAATCTATTGCCTCTTTACTCATCCATCACAATATCCTGATTCATCATGAGACTGTAAGTATATAAGGGCTAGAAAATAATCACAGCATTAAGGAAAGTCTATCATGCTTGAATTCTGGCAAATGTCAAGGATAAGGCTTGAGTCATATTTACTTGAATATAAGAAGGGGTTTATGTAATAAGAGAAGGTGCATATATGGCTGCTCTCTTGAGTAAGACATTGATCAGGCTGTAAGAACACAAGAGATAAGAAAATAATAAGTACAATATAATCACAAACACTGGGATTCCATTTTTTTATTGTACACCAGTCACTTTGTAAGGTCTCTAACTCTTCTTCAGTTAAGATTTGGAAAAATATCAATTATAATAAAATAGTGAGAGTGACTAATTGATCTATCATATTAGAATAGTAATTCAAAAACCATATGGGATAAATTACCAACAACATAATGTATCAATCAGTCCAGTTCCAAAGAGACATGCAACCTAGGTAATATTTTTCATCTCATCCCTAACAACATGTAAAGCTCAGACCTACAGTTTCCTAAGTCAAATGAAAACCCACTTATTCTCACAAAAATATTCTTCTGTTTTGTTATTTCTCATTACTTTACCTGCTATAAACACAGATGTAAACAAGATAATGTTCTTTATATAAAATGTCTCTATAGTTTATAATTTTAGTCAAATATTATTGTTCTGTATATTATTAACTGGACAGAATGAAGTATTAAAAGAGCTGAGCAGCTTGTATTCTCTGAAGCAGAAATTCCACATCACCCTTGTAGAGAAGATTGTAAATTAAACTCTTGACCCATTTTAGAACAAAGTATCTGCTGATATGGCATTGTTAGCCATTGAATACTGATGCTCTTTACAGTTGCAAGTGTTATATAGCTAACTTAGAGAACATTATGTATTACTTGCAAAGACAACTTCTGTTATCAATCAGAAAGCAAGGCTTTTCTGAGTCAAATATAATAAATTACTAAGTAATGATTACCACAAAATAATTACTAAGTAATAAAGGATACAGACTAGTTTACTGAAATAAGCAAATGTTCCTCTTATTACTGAAATTTCCTATAATCTTTTTAAATTTGAACATAATTTGGCTTTTCATATACTATATATTTATTTTCACTTCCTTTCTGTGTGTGATTAAAAACACAATGTGTTTGCTAGGTGTGGTGGTGCATACCTGTAATCTCAGCAACTTGGGAGGCTGAAGCCTCTCAAGCTGTCTTCAGAGCATTGAGGACAGCCTCAACAATTTATTGAGTCCCTAAGCAATTTAGTGAGACACTGTCTCCAAATTTAAAGGGCTGGGGACATATGTAGCTCAGTGGTATAGCACCATTGGGTAAAGCACTGTTGGGTTCAATCCCTAGTAACAAAACAAAACAAAAAAACCTACACACACACAATGTGGTGGATAAGAACATTGCCCAAACTTCTCTGGTAGTTCCAATACATGGATAATGTTGTATATACTGGATCCTAGGAATGGTAATGTAATACTTGCAAGTTCTCCATATTGTATTGCTATCTCTAGTATGGTGCAAATACCCATACTTTGTGGATCTTACAGTAGAATAACCAGTGTATTCATATTGACTAAACTCAATGTGCTGTCTAAAGAGGAATGAATGTTTTGATCAAATAGACTTGTTAAACAAGAGTCATGAAAAGAATCTCTTTTTTAAAAGTTTTCAGAGTTATTTCCAGAAGCTAATAAAGGCAGTGATTCACTGACAGTCTTGAGTCTTTGAGATTCTAGTATGTTCTGGAACAACCTTGTAGATGGTGATGAGCTCTTTTCAGCAAACACAGCAAAAGTTTAATTTTTGATGCTCTTAAGAACAATCCCAAAGTATCACAGATGTCAAACAGAATATGCCATCTAAACAAAAAAAGTAAAATCAACTGACATTACAAATGCTGTAAATACAATCTCAGCCAATATATGATATCACCGAAGGTGTCAATCAGCCATATTGGAGAATCTAACCATTCCAGTGGATTTCATGAACCTTTGTGATACTGATTTATTGTGACCACAGGAAACACATGCTACAGCATATGTATCTAAATTATAGTTCCCATGTTGTCAGAAAAGGAAACATACCTGCATCAGAAAAGATTTAACAGTTACATTTTAAAAGTTAGAACTTCATATAAAAAAGAAAATAGCAATCAGAGATAGTACCACACCATAAATAATGAAAGCTATATTTAATAAATATAATGGACAAGGAAAAGGAAGAAAAGAGTCTTTTATAAAATGTAAAGACACTATAGCACTTGATAAAACAACCAGTAATTTCACTTTAGCAAGTATAAAAATAGTAGAGAAAATTGCAACTTCAAGCTCTTTGCAGTAGTGATGAATATGCGATATGTCAATGTATATATTTAGCCAGTGGTCATTAGATGTTACCTGCATAAACACATGTGATACTCATGCATTGCCTTCTAGCCCCAAAATTTCAGAAATAGGTGTTCAGTAACCTCCTCCATTGGAAAGATATATAATGTTAGAATCCCCTGAGAAAAGCCATTTCCCTAGAATAGAAATTTACCTCAATAATCATGGAACACAAAACACTTGGCATAGTAGCAAAAGAGTTGCCTTAGTGTTACAGTCTCATCTAAATGTAATCTTCATCTTCAGTATACTGCTCAAATCATCTCTCATTTTTTTCTATTGGTATAATTTTGAAGTAATTCTGAAATATTTCAGATCAGATAAATAACATTCAATTACAAATATCTCTTTCAACATATGTCTACTTTGAAATTTAAACCAATAGTATAGAAAGCCTAAGAATGAACACTAATTTGACACACTTACAGAAATGGAAGGAAAAACACGTTATATCTTTCTTCAGAGCAAGGTATCATCAACCCTTATTTCACTTCCAAAAACTGAAGGAAAGAATCATGATCAAGAGTAAAACCATAAATTTTTTGATTTACAGAGATGTTTCTTGAGTATTTTATTTGCTTGTCTTTGTAAAATTTCTGGTAGAATAGAGAAGTAACAGTCTTCAATTTTTGAACATAATTGTGAGCTTATAATGGGACATGACGTGCATCATTTTTTTTTTTTAGAACAAAGCTATTTCGTTATACTAAGTAGGGATAATACTTTTTAATGAAAATGAGGACATACCAGTAATTCTGGCCAGTACTTAATAAGTATACAAATTATACATTAAAGACATTTATAAATGGAGGTTTTTGAGGATTCTATGCCTTTTCAATTTAAAGAGCGGTGTGTCTTAGAATTTTTCTTATACTAACATAGTGCTGAGGATAATATTCAAATTTGTACTCAACGTGTCCTTACATTAAAGGGCACATTGGACAGTGTAGGAAGACACTTTATCAACTAGAATGTTGTGCTGATTCACATAACTTTGCCATGTGCTCTGCTATAGAGCTGGATTTATATGCCCTTAAGAAGGGAGAAAAAAAAATCAGTTAAATATAAATATGAAAATATGATAATTATATCATGTTAGGCCCCTTAGCTTCAGAGCAAGATATCATTAACCTTTACTTCACTTCCAAAAAATGAAGGAGAGAATCGTGATCAAGAAGAAAAGGATAAACTTTTTGACTTATAGAGATGTTCCTTGACTATTTTATTCACTTGTTTTTATCCATGAAAATCCACCCATTTTCATGCCACCATGTCTGTAGCATTTGGTCTGTAGCTAGTTTGGATCCCTGGCACAATATTTTTTCCACAGGCCTTTTTATACATGCCTCATATATAATTAAGCTTTGGTGAGATGTGACTGCATGCTAGGATGCTTTTTCCTAGGTCAGGATATGGTGCTGCTTGTACTAGCTGTGTTTTATATGAATGTATGTTGCTACATTGGCCTGTCTTACCAAGATGTGGATGGAGAAAGCCTGTGTGAGCTGTCTATTGAAGTTGCTAGGATGCATGTTGTGTTTGCCATCATGTAATGCCAGTTTTTAATGTTCCCTCTTTAGATATCGACAACCTGTTTTTAAGATGAAACATTATTTTGCTTGAATTAATGATTTTCTTAGTAATACAAGGGTTATTCTTATCTCTTTTTTTTTCTTTTTCCTATCACTGAAGTAACTTTGCAGAGGCCACATTATTGTCTGTCTTCTCACAGTTCTTTAGTATACACCACTGCCTAGGCAAAATTATGTTTTGAGTTCTTTTGGTTATTTACTCCTTTGTATCA